GGAAGCATTCATGGGAGGCAGGGATTCAAAATTGTACAAATGGTAGGGCTGACCCCCCGGGCAAAGGGGTGGGCCCAAAAAAAGTTTATTGCCTGGAAATGGTTGAGATCCCCACCATATAACCACATATACAATTGCTGAGTATAAAGAGAAGAATGCACATTTGCATCCAGGTTGGCCCTAGGGTCTGGCCCCACTCTTGGAAACATAGTCCTTGGGCCGTAACTTTAAAACAATATATACAAATGCTGGGCATACAGAGACGAATGCAGTCACAATATTAGAATAGACCCTGGGGTCTGACCGAACCCCTAGGGACCTAGTTTCTTAGTCTCAGCTTGGAAACAGTTGAGATCCCCACCCTATAACCATATAGACAATTGCCGATTACAAAGAGATGAATGCACATATGCTTCCAGGATGGCCTTGGGGACTGCCCCACCCTTGGAGACTTACCCCTGGGTCATAACTTTGAAATGGTTAAGATCCCCACCCCAAAACTATATATACAATTGTTGGGCATAAAGAGACAAATGCAGCCATGATATTAGAATTTACCCCAGGATTTGCCCCACCCTTGCAGACTTAACCCCTGGGTCATAACTTTGAAACGGTCGAAATCCCCACCCCAAAACTATATATACAAATGCTGGGCAAAAAGAGACAAATGCAGTCATGATATTAGAATTGATCCTGGGGTCTGGCCACAACCGTAGGGACCTAGTTTCTGAGTCACAGCTTGGAAACAGTTGAGATCCCCACCCCATAACCATACATAAAATTGCTGCGCATGAAAAATTTTGCCCCCCTCCCCATTCCTTATTTGTACCGAAATGAGTGCCATTTGTACACGCGGTTAATAAGTCGTAATCGTTTCACCGCTTGCCTGTATATCAATTTCCTTATCTTTATTCAAAAGTTTTTGAGACTTGGGCAACTGACAAGTAAAAACGACATGCAGACCAATTTTCAGGATTTTTTTAAGAGTGCGACAGGGGCATTCACAATTTTTTTTTATTTCTTTCACAATGAAATCCGCAATGCAGGGCCCTAAAATGAATTGCGTGCGGGCCTAAGAACCAAATGAAAAAATTAGTCTTAATAGATGTCCAGTTCACATGTTTAAGGTGTTTACCTTGACTAGTTTATTTCAGGGCAAGGTATCATAGACCAATGTATTGTTTATTTCAGGGCGAAGTAACATACATTCGAGTGAAGGAGAACAACAGCAGTGGTGGCGGCAGCAGCAGTCGAAGCAAGTACTCCCGGAGCCGCAGCCGAAGTTTCAGCCGCAGTCCTCGCAGGCGAAGGTCGCCAGCAAGAGGGTCACCAGATTACTCATCTGTACAGCGAAGGAGGCGATCACGGTCCCGATCCTGATGACCCCGGGTCCCTGATGTTGTATCATCGCTGGAATCACAAACTGGGTGTGGTTGTCGTGTCATTTCATGAAAATCATATTATTATTTTTTCGATCATAATTTTGAGAATGTGTTACAGATACTGCTATCGAGTTTAAAAAAATGCAATCATCACTTATTGTTGTATTTTAGTGTGATCTCAGAGCATTTCTTCAAACTAGGCGTGGTCAAACTAGGCGTGGTCAAACTAGGCGTGGTCAAAAATACATTTCAACCTGGACATACAACACTATATCTGTTGAGAACCGCCCTTTAAGACATTAGGCTGAATTTATGATGGCCCATTTATATTTTGTCTCGTAAAAAAGGAAATCCATCTAATTTAGTCAAGCGTGGTTACTGTTCTATATGTATTTCTGGTTTCAGCTATATAATAAAGGTTTTGAAAGAAATGTTTGGTAGTGTAAAATACGTTTTTACAAAGCTTATACACTTGTATTAAGAATGCTTGTTCTAAGATTCGGCCAGAAACACTTTTAATGACATTCAACTTGAGTCGAAGTCAAATTTGAGAAAATATATTCCCGTGTCTAAAACTAGCTTTGTATAGTGCCATGTTTTCCCTTGGATTATGTTCTTTGCATTTAGTGCATGCAAAAGAAAACAAGCAAATGTAATGGCTTTGTGGTCAAGTTTGCAATGCTGTTGACTATATTAACCCTTTCATCCCTAGGTCACTTAAGTAAACTCTACCCTGCATTGATACGGATGAGTCCATTATGGTCTACAGTGATGAAAGGGTTTATTTAACAGTGTTGCTCAAAATTTATACCCTTCAAATTTAGACCTCAAAGTTAAAGCACTATACTCTGGATTGAAAAATTTCAAAAGATCGGTGTCATTGCTCTCGCATTAAGGAGGAGTGCCTTATGAAATGGAAGATTTCAAAAGAGACTGCTTCTTGTAACATCATGTTTCAATAACAATCATTTCTTACGCAGCCATGGATAAACAGTCCCGCTGTCAATCATTTGGGCAAGGGCCGTCCATAGTGGTTCTGTCCAATGAGGGCTGTGGATCCTAGAGTGGGTCGCTTCCAATTGGATATGATTGACGCAGGGAGTGACTGTATCTACTCCAGACATCCATTTCATTGGAGGTGATATTGGTATGCAAATTTATTTCATGCATATCATTACTTGGTATTGTGTTGTCCTTCAGTTCCTTCCTTGATTATTCTGTATTAATACATCATGAAATTGTTAAAATTATATAGGGGGGAAAAAAGAAGTTTTGAAACAAAATAATTTTAAACTGTTGTATACTAGAACTACTGGTACCCAAGTTAGTTAATATCATTTTTTTTTTTCCATAGATATTCTATGTTATCTCATTCAGTAAAGTTTGGTTATTCTGTGAAAATGAAGAAGGAAAACTTTTATCCACCTTTTAAGTTAAGTTTGAAGCGAACTTTAATCAATTTTTCAGTTATGGTCATTTTAGACCCAAAAGCAATGGTATAATTCAATGTTTTCTGTGAAAAAAATTGTAGAAAGAATGGTAAGGATTTTTCTAGCGATTCATCTTTTATATCAATTATTTTTCTTATGAATAATCGTTGTCATTTGAAGTGACATGTATGCAGGTAGATTTGGAGACATCTTATAAAAATAACTAAAGATCAGTTTCTTTCAGTTCTAAATATTTACGAATAATGAAAAGGTTTAAGACATCATTTAAAGGTTTAATTATAAAAAAAATTGCAATTACAGTTTCTTTAACCCGTTCACCCAAGAAGACACATTTGAACCCTTCGAATTCATAGGTTGGAATTGTTCATTATGAAATTTCAGTGGTGAATGAGTTATATCATATCAAGTTTTTTGTTTTGTGACATTTTGTGGCACTATTAAAATGTTTGTCTTTGTATTTTTCAACACTAAGGTTTTTGAAGTTGGAAGGAGTGGGATAAGATAATGGAATGGATGGATTTAGGATAGGGAAATTGGATAAAAGATGGATTTTGGACCGAATGGAGATAGGAGGAAAATAAAATTAGGATTTTTTTCCTTCAGTATTTCGAAAATTGTTTGGAAAAAGAGGATATAGGACCGAATGGAGAGTAGAGGAGAAAAGTTTTTTAAAGGATTTTTCTCCTTGAAATTTGGAAATAATTTGGAAAATTGGAAATAGGACCGAATGGAGATTGGAGGGAAATGAAGGATTTTTCTCCATAATTTGGAAAATTTGGGAAATTTGGATAATAAATGGGACAGATTGGAGGAAGGATGTCCCCCTTTTATTTTTTTGGAAATAGTTTGATCAGTTGAAATAGAGGATATGGATTTTGGACCGGATGGAGATTTGAGGAAAAATTCTGTATGACATATTTTTTCTGAAATTTTGGATAAAGTTCTGGAAATATGAAGTAAAATGGATATGGGAGGGACCGAATGGAGATTGGAGGAGCTAGTTAAGGACAAAATTTATATTTGGAAATGTATGGATTTTGGACCGAATGGAGTTTTGAGGATTTTGTTCTTCAAAATTTGGAGAATCGTGGATAAAGGAACCGAATGGAGATCAGCATTTGGAGGAAAAGATTTTTTGAAAAAATTATTTTAGCTTACTTTGCAACATTCTTTACAATGTTATTTTGATATGAAGAAAGGGTAGACATGGAAAGAAGATTGGAGGAAAAGATTTGCTGGATGGTATTTTGAGGAAAAGATTTGATGGCAAACCAGAATTGTATTTGAGAAAATATGTTCGATTGTACATGTATTTGGATATCATCAGATGAAAAAAATCAGTCTGAACATTAGGAAGAATAGTTCAAAATTGTTTCAACAATGATGTTTCTTTTTGTTCGTGAAGGTTATACGTAAAAAGGTTAATCTAGATTAAAGAATGAGGGCTGGGACCAAATGGATGATGGAAAGTCGAAGAGTAAGGAGATTGACACCTGATAATATTTCTTCTTCAACGGTAAACATTAAACTCAAGATATTATTGGGTGTAAATTAGGGCCCATACATCCATTCTTACAGTTGTTTTACTTATGAATGCTCAAGATTTTAAACTTGTTGTTCCGATATATATATGAATTGGGGAAAATTTAGAATTGAAGAGAAACAGTCAATTTAACAATTTATGCATAGAACAATTGTTTAAAATATTTTGTCACGGAGCTTCTTTTTTTTTTTATCCCAAAGGACAATTTCCCACAGGCGATATGTTGACCGTGTTTTTATATATATGTAGCTATTTTTATTCAGAAAACTTTTTTTTTTTTATTGTAAAAACTCATGTACCCAGGATTTTAGAAAATGTGGAAATATATTTCTCCCTGAGGAACAACAGATGTGACAGTGACCGTACATGGATTCAGGGCTAAATTGAACACGGACTATATGGAAACCCACTGGATTGATTGAAGGGGGAAAAGGACTAGTTCAAATTGATCAGGAAAAGTGAAAAAATGACTTATTTGGAAACATGGATCATCCGACACGTTTTTTTTTCATACATAGTTTTAATGTACATTTTCAAGAAATGTGTAAAAGACTTTTTAAAAAAGTTATCTAGGTTATCTTGAAAATGTCAAGATTCATTTATCATTCACAATTCACATTTTAACATTGTCCATATTTTAATTGTCTTTTACTTCATTGTTTTTTTTTCTTTTCATTTGCTTCATGGTATAGAATAAAGAGTATTTTGTTGATGTAGTGGTTATTTGTATTTTTATGCACCTGTCAATTTTTTTTGGAAGGAGTGGAACATCAGTCTGTCAACTAAGAGTCTGTCTGTGAACACTCTTGGTTCAACAATGCAAGTTGCCGAAATATCAGTTGATTTTGCATCCTCGATACTCCAGGGGTTACGCTAACGCACGCTATCTGCATAACTGCACCAATGGAATATGTCGTAGCAAAATTGATGGAACACTGCTAGCTATTTAATTGGTCTCGGTTAAAAAATCCTGACAATTGCTGGGCTAACTAAATTTGGCCAGTTAAGTGTACTGTAACATGACTACAATATTCTCGATTCCTGTCTCTTCCACAAGGTGGCGCTTACTGAACCTTCAATTTTGCTGCGACATAATCCAGGAGTACAGAGCGTGAAATGAGCATAACCCCTGCTGTATCGAGGATATGGATGAAAATCAGGAAGCATTACATACAATACACAAAGGGGAGTTAAAAATTCCAGTTAATTAATAGCATACTTTACTTTGATTGGTCGACCCTTTCCACAAACTGATGAAACATTGTCATTAGTTATAATGCTCACAAAATGTGCAAATGCTGGTACATAAAAATATGAGCATAGTGAATTGGCATACTTTGCCCGCCCCGATTTGTCAGGTTTTCTCACAATAACTTGAAGTAATATGACTGGATTCTGATTTAATTTTGTCAATATTTATACCAATAGTTAAATCGGCCAAAATGAATAAGCACTCTTTAAAATATCAATGATGTACGTATATGTATTTCACGTTTGGTAAAAATGGCCTCGACTGATATTTAAGGTCACAAGGGCTAAATATGTTGAACTGTATCTTCTGAAATACCATGGGGCATAAATTCACATCATATAGCCAGTGGTTCGCTTGCAATGATTGCTACAAAGGTTTAGAAAATAATGGGGCACGGGGGGTAAAACCTGTTAAAACACTAATGGCTTTTTCTGAAGATCAAAACTTCATAATATGTCAACTGCTTAATTTGCTGAAAAGAAATGACCTTGACCCTTCCAAAGCACTCGCAAATTCTAAGAACTAGACTGTCTAGTGACATGACATTTTGCCAACTGCCTGCTGGAATGAAGTGGTTCCAATTTTCTGAAGAAGTATTGGCCTTGGAACCATATCCAAAGCGATAGGGAATTTAAGAATAATTTATCGATATATTTACAACTTTAAAAGGACCAGCTTGTGATATATTATTTAGCCAGTAGTTTGTCGAGATATATAAATCTAAAGGAAGTTTGAAAAGGCCACTGAACACTAGCATCTTCAGGCCCTTGGTTTTACATTTAACATGTCATAGTATATATATACAATGTAAACACAATACAACTCAGAACTACAGGTCTCTAAAATCTTCATGAAATACTGCCGACAGATTTGACCCAATGGTTTTTGTATAACTTTATTTTGCAATAAGAACAAAAAAGAAATAAAAAATCATCTGAAATGGTACCAATTATTTATTTGATATTATCACTTTTTTATTTGATATTGTCACTTAAAAAGTTATCGGGATACACCAGAATTCACCTCGGAGCACCTAGGAATTCAAATTCCTAATGCGCCCCCTCCCCTGCCTAGCCGCTATGCGGCTCGAATGCTGGCCTTGCAAGCATGGAAGAACTACACTAACCTATGTCAAACTACACTTTAATTCCTCTTTGGCAAACAAAAGGGTAAACAGGTCTGTGTTAGATAGATAGGGCGCTATATCAAATGTATATTTTTATTTATTTGTTTAATGTATATATTCCTGGTTTTCTCCTTTCACAACATCCTATAGAATAGTTCTCAAATTTACCGAGTAATTAATACAGCACATTGTAGTTTCTATTCGTCACATTTTCATATATTTAAATATTCCTTCGAATAATTTTAAATGTGTCCATTTTATTGGAGGCTTTTCCTGTTTGTGAATTTCGCATTTGGTTAGATTTGACACATATATTGGTATACCCTGAAAACAGTACAGTGCACATCACCTTAGTGCGACTGAAGTTATGATCCAGACGCAAAGTTTTAGGAAAGGGCAATAACTCTGTAATTATTGGGCCCTCAATTTGGTACCGTGTACATACCTAGTGAAAGTTTCAAGATCCTATCTTAAATGCGGGCAAAGTTATGCTCCGACATGAGATTTTAGCAAAGGGCAATAACCAGGTAAATAAGGGGTTGTGTGCCCTAAATTTGGTACAGTGCACATCGCCTTAGTATGACTGATGTACACACCAAGTTTCATGATCCTCCCTTAAATGTGGATAAAAAAATTGTGAACTTTTCAAAAGGTTTAAATGAATTTGATTTTTCACTAGGCTAGGAACACAATAATTTCTCCATTGAATTCTTTTAAGGTGGCTCGACACATCGTCATCAGCGTCCATTTTCGTGACGTACTTCCGGAAAAAGTACAGCTCGGACTCAATTATCTTGATCGAAATGTGCATGTACACCGTGTCGTCATTTCCGTTTTGCGTATCGGGTACTCAATATCGTAGTGCAAATTATAGTAACACCTGGGCCGTTTGCGTTTAAACGGTCAAACCGATCGGACCACTGTTGTTCGTTTATTAAATAAGGTAAGACCTAGTTATCTGATGCTGCTTTCAGGCGAGCCTTGAGAAAGCCTTGCAAGTCTTGCATACACATTTGTAGGTCCGCCAGGATTTATACCCGGAATTGTTACATTTATAAACGGTCAAACCGGTTGTTCCGCATAAACGAACAGGCCCCTGGTAAACAATAGTACACGTGCGTGCCGATGATATGTCAACACCCGATATCGAGATTTTACCGGGAAATGTATAATCACACGTACTTCAGGAATAAAGCTTTCCAATTCATTGACATAAACAGACTCACGGGAAGACAGTGACATGAGACCAGACGACCTCAAGAAGGTCATATAGGAAACACATGGAATGCGGACGTACCAACCTCATATGTGCATATCACGTGCTTACACGAGTTCATAAGCTGAGGGAGTTTCGCTCTGTCGATTAAATCGTGTTTACAAATGTAGTCTACTTACTCTGTGAAAATAATGTTTTGTAAAATATCAAGATACCTATGAAATGCATGTGTGAGGGCACGTGAGAACGGCATACCATGCGATAGCCTCTGGTCACATATGTACCTGACATGTAATTATAAATATACCGTGAGTTAGCGGACTGTGGAATGATGTCCAAAGTGTACATGACTGAGGGTAATTTGGTTCCATTAAAGAACAATAAATTGATAATTTTGATATCATATTTTTGATTTATTTCCATCATTTGTTATATGTAAACAGAGACAACTGTCATTGTGTAAATGTCATCCCTCTGCAAAAAGTTCCGATTTTTTTCAAGGAAGATAACTCTCACCCGGATCAAAGTGATTGTAAAATGTAAAATAAATTAATTATAAAGCCATTGTGTATATTTTGTTCAATTTCCCACTCTATATGTATAGATCTGTGTGTCCTGTTTGCTTTTAGCTTGTAGATAATCACTTTTATCCGTTCAAATTCAATAAAAAACACTTTGTGTAACATGTGTTACATATTTTGCGATAAATAAAATATTTGTAGGATTAATTATAAATGCTTCTTTTCATTTTTTTATTGTTTTTATTGTTCCGAACAATGCCACACACAAAAAAACCGGAAAATATTAAAAGTGGCGAAAATTCAATTTTTTGGTATTTTTTCCAAAAAATTCCCCAAACTATCGGAATGTTTAGATTTTCATAAAATTAACTCTACATAGTTGCATAACCATTATATGAAAGTTTCAACGAATTTTGCTGGTTAATTGCGAAAGTGTGGAGCCACCTTAAGACTTCGACTATAATTTCTTTCCATATATTGTATTTTGAATGAGCTTTGAATTTCCACAGAACTATTGCACATATTATACTTAATATATTATCACCTGTCAAAAACCGTTCCATCAAAGACCAGCTGTTGACAACTTCATGACAAAATATAGATGTTTTTTTTATATATTTTTATTTTTCAATACTTCTTATACAAATATATAAAACATACTTACTGTAAGTTACTGCAAGGAATCACTTGCATGCTTTTTAAAGGTAGCGGTCACCATAATCTGGCTTTTCATTTAAGCTTAATTTACTCCAATGGAAATTAATCTGTACTGCATACATTTTAAAATCGAACGATACTTGCATGCATGATGGCATTTATCTTAATCCTTCAGCATAACTTTGATCACATATTATTTAGCTAGATATTGATAATTACCAAGAACACCATTACAAGATGATCCTTTTAATACTATTTGACTTCCTTTCACCATACAAGATAAAGCAGTGAATTTTTCTATCAGACTTGATGCTGTTTGGAGAATTTAGGAGAACACTAGTTTCTGCGAATAGTTCATAATACATCCGCCCAAGTATGTACTTGCCTTCAATATGGCCTGTGAGACAGATGACTGGAATGTTTGTTAAGTTACAAGAAATTTGGTTGAAAGCTTTTGCCAGGATTAAGCACATCTTCCCAGCATTGTGTCTGGATTTTGTAGGTGTGAAGTCCTTCAGAGGTTGACAAAGCATATTGGTCCGAGATGCTTCATGCAACTTGGTTCATGCAGCTCTTAAGTCGGGAAGCTGCGAACAAACTTAATGTTGGACAGGCAGGACTACACCCACCATTATATGTTCCGACCGAAAGTGGGCACATAATACATACCAAGACACCGCCAATCTGCTTATTGATACGTCAGTTTTATCCAAAATACTGAACTTTCTATTTTACTGTATCCATGGACTTAGTCAACATTTCATTGCAGAGAACATACTGGGTATATTACGTTACAGGACAATGTATCCGACTTTGATAGGGGAAAGGGTTGTCAGTTAGGTCAGATATGGCAGCAATATGGATATTGGTATCAGAACTAGGGCAGTACACTACAATTCAGTTTTATAATTTTATGTAGAAATTATCAAAAGTGAGCAATCACTTCAGCAAGCTTCAATGATCAACTCATTCACCACTGAAATTTCATAATGTACTATTCCAACCTTTGAATTGGAAGAGTTCAAATGTCTTCAGGGGTGAATGAATTAATTATAGTTTAGAGGTCATTACAAATAACAAGAATATTTTGGATTATATTGATTCAATAATGTTTCTGTAAAAACAATTATATATCTGCCATTTCAAAATGATATTGCCATGCATTATTGCTGTACAAATACTGCAATATTGTCCATCCCTAGTTTAAATGTCCATCCCTAGTTTGAAGAGCCCCGTGCTGTCATCTAGTTTAGTGTCTTGGGTTGTTGTAACTGGAAAATGTTGCATTGCTTTATTGTGTGCCTGAACATATTCACATCCTTATTGGCTTTGTACCAGCCGATAGCTCCAATCATATTTTCTTTTACATGCACGTTTTACTGACCGAGACATTTTTTGAAAGATATATAGAAACTTTATACTTGTTCTAGATGAACACCAGTCATTCATTGCACTAGCACAGACAGTACATTTGTGTAATAACTTACTGCTTAGCCATCCTAACTTTTAGTAGGGCATATCCCATAATGCATCACTGATCCTAGTAGAGCTAAATGGATTCCCCCAAGATCCTGAAGAAATCCAAGCAATGTTTAGCGATATATGCAATCCAAGATCCTGAACAGATCCTACAGCTAGAAGAGTCCAAGGTCATTTAGAGATCTTTGTAATTCCCAGAAATATCCCAAGATCCAGTAGCAATCCAAGCAATTCTTAGTAATGTAATGTATTCAAGGATCCAGAACAGATCCCATCGTTACAAGTCCAATGACAGTGAGAGATTGTGTAATTCCCAGATATCCCAAGATCCAGAAGCAATCCTAGAATTTATCTTATATATGCATCCAGGGATCCGGAAAAGATTGAATCGCTATAACGAGTCCAAAGAAATATTTAGAGATCTTTGTAATTCCCAGAGATATCCAAAGATCCTGGAGAGATCCAAGCAATTCTTTGCGATAACTGTTTTCGAAGATCCTGAATAGATCTTATCACTAGAAGAATCCAACGACATTTATAGCATCTTTATCCTTTCCCAAGCTATCCCAAGATTTTGAAGCAATCCTAGTAATTCTTAGATGTATATAATATATCCAAGATCCAAAACAGATGCTAGCACTAGAGAAATCCAAAGATATGTAGTGATCTTACTCCTCAGGTTATCCCAAGATTACGAAGCGATCCTGGCAATTTCTAGACACAATTCCTCAGGAAATCCTAGTATTTCTGACCATATGTTTTAGATGTTAAAAGTGATCATATGAACTTCAAAAAATTCGTTTCAAAATTCCTTTCATTAACTGAAAAATTTCCTGTATAGATCCCATCATTTCTTAGCTACAATCCCAAGATGTTTCTTTCGGCTAGACCAATACCTTGAACTTTTGCTCCCAGTAAGATACTGTAGCACCTAAAAATACTCAATATCATTTTGTTCCAAGATCATTTAAACTCTCACTTGGGGTTTTTAAACCAAAAAAAAAAGAAAAAAATCTGCGGCAATCCCAGTATTAAATGTGGAAGATCCTTCAGCTAGACCAGTAAGATCCTGTAATTTTTAGTTAGCTGATGTATCCTTAGATATGTCAGCGATTTAATAAAAATCCCTCAACAAATTTATTAAGATCCCTCAGCAATCCTCGTAATTCTTAGCAAACTGTATTCTACGATTTGCCAGCGATTTAATTAAGATCCCTCGGCAATTTGATTAAGATCCCTCATCAATCCTAGTAATTCTTAGCTAGGCGCTTGATGAAATCTGTCAGCGTTTCATTTAAGATCTGTCGCTGTCAGCAATCCTAGCAATTCTAAGGTAGACATATCCCAAGCATATTCCGAGCAAGACCTGACTGCGATACTAGTTATCATTAGCCAAGACGTATCCTAAGATCCGTGCAATATCCGTCAGCGATCCTAGTTATTATTAGCTAGACGTATCCTAAGATTCGTCAACAATACTAGTTATTATTAGCTAGACGTATCCTAAGATTCGTCAACAATACTAGTTATTATTAGCTAGACGTATTCTAAGATCCGTGCAATATCCATCAGCGATCCTAGTTATTATTAGCTAGACGTATCCCAAGATCCGTCATCGATACTAGTTATTATTAGCCAAGACATATCCTAAGATCCGTGCAATATCCGTCATCGATCCTAGTTATCATTAGCCAAGACGTATCCCAAGATCCGTCAACGATCCTAGATAGGCCCTGTAGTGATCCTAGAACCTAGAGAATAGGGTCACCTCCAGATCCTTCCCTCCTAGCGTGATCCTATAGCAATCCTACTGTGTACTCTAGCAATCCCAGCCGGTACACAGCTTGATCCTATAGCGATCCTACCACCATCCAAAGATCCAAAAGATCCTTTGATTTGATATTGGATTCAGTTTTCCTGGCCATTGGGGATGTTTTCCAAACACAGAGAGGTTCCTTTAAGTAGCTTAAATTTTTTCTTTTCAATTATAAAATATTTTTTCAATGTTTGTGAAATTTGATATTTCTCAACTATGATCTTTTCAGATAAACAAAAAAGTCATGATCAAATAAAAATGGATTTTTTTGAAGAATTTCAGGAAAACTAAAATTTTAATGAGAAGAAGGTGAAGTTATACTTCTCAATGTAAAAACAAATTCAACATTTTTTTTTTAAACATTCTCCAAGAAAATAACCATTCCATCCTGTTTCTTTTTTTCCACCTCTCCCTGTGCTAGATCCCAAGAGCTCTCTCTCCCCTTTCAGAAATTTGGATAGAGTTGGATCCTGAAATTTTCCCACTTTTCCAAAGAAATATTATTTTTCCAGGTAATCCAAAGAGAGGATCCAAAAGATTTTTTATCCGTTTTTTGGTCGATAAAATGGGGATTTTTTTCCTGTATTGTTGATCCAATAAAGCTTTGCCCACAATCCCGAGGAGGGGTTCCAAAAGATTCTATCCAAGTGGAATTGGGGGGGTAGTTTTTCCAAAGATTGAATCCAATAACATAATCTCAATTTTCATCCTCTGAGTGAACTCACTCCTTCCGAAGTTTACAAGCTTAGACCCTTAAATCAAACAAAGAAAAAGAGAGTAAGACATAAATTCCTTTTAATAAAATACACATCATGAAGCCTGAAACGAAAGATAACTCAAGTAGAATGATTGAATCAATGTCATCATCATCAAGCTAATGTAATAGAAATGCTGGAAATTTGAACAATACATTATTCCAAACTATAGATTATAAATGACCAATGCTATGCCGCATCGTTCAACATACTTAAAGAAAAAATTGCAAATCAATGAAAAAATTAAATTATCCTTGCACTTCTTTCCTTTCTCTAAATTTCATAATACAATTCCTAATTAATTAACATGCCATTATGATTAGCAAACACTTTTATGTACAAAAATTATTCCGCAGACATTTGAATTTATGATGACTGTAGTTACCGATATCAAGCACTTGTAAGGTGAATAAGCGAGGAGTTTAAATTAAAAACAATGATCCTTAAATCCCGTAATTGTTTCACAGACTGAATCAAAACTGATATTAACCATGATACTTGGACTCTTTGCTAATCAGGAATTACGATTGTGACAAATCAACTCAAGATTTTTGTCTGAACATATCAAGCTAGAAGTGATCATCAGTTGTTGAAATATTACCATGTTTTAACAGTCTGTCCCATTTTTAATTTCCTAATTTTTGAAACTGAAAATAGTTTCATTTTTAAGAAGTTTCATTTTGAAGATTGAAAAACTGATAGCTTTCCTGCCAATCTGTTTTTTACTTTTTTATAATGAACATGCAACTCCAAGGTCAAGTTTATAGTATTAAGGTAAGAGAAAAAGTTTAAACTTTTTTCTTTTGGTTGTCGATATCATTCAAACTGCCTAAATAAATTTCCTGAACGTCTCTCAAAATGATTAATGGTATTAATCAGCTTTGTATTTATAATTATGGTGAAAATTGTTTGGATAATTTCATTCTGAGCTTCAAAAAATCAAGAGACCAACTTAAATGGGACAGACTGTATGGAGTACACATCATTTAGTCAGTATACAGTGTACTGTATTTTACCCGCGATTAATTAAGATCTCGTACCTGGACAGGAGATAAAATCATTCCAATGCAACAAGCTTATAATCAAAAGTGATCCTTAAGGTAACATCGTCAAGAAGACAACAAAACCCCGTTTCACTTTCATCTTGATTTCTAATCAAAGTTAACAGAAAATCAGTCATACTAGTGCTGCTTGTGGGGTAATCACTTAGATTTAGTAAAAAAAACTATGATTAATTTAGCGCTACAAAGATTGGCATATATTTCTGAAGAAAACTCAGAAAGTTTTTCTTTGATTCAACTCAACATTTTTGAAGGAAAAAAAATGCTACCTTCAAACAGAAGGCATCATATGAAAGGAAAATTCAGAGACAAAAAAAAATTAAAAAATACATAGAATAATTTTCTTTCATAATGTGTATAAATTTCAAGCTATTTTAGGCAACATTAAAAAAAAATCTTTTTATTATGAAGCCAAGCAGTTGGTTATAACAGTACCATATATACAGATAAGTTTAAAACACATGTACAATAATATAATTCGTATATCTAAACAAGAGGCCCATGGGGCTTGTATCGCTCATCATTATCTGAAGTTATTAGACCAAGAGACGGCTTCAATTTTTTTTAAATTCAATTCAGACCAAGGTGGCCATCTTAGGTTTCTTTTTGACCCAAAGCCGTAAAATAACATTTTGTAAGGGCAGTGACTGGAATTTTTGCACAATTTGTTAAAATTGGTATGGTAGAATTTTGATAATTTGTCAAACTTTCCTGTCACTGTCTCACTTGGGGTGGAAAGACAAGGACACTTTGGCCTAGGGATGTCCCAATTCAAAATAATTTCCTTGGCCAAAGGATGCTGTTTGACAAATAAGGTCATAATTTTCCGATTTTCCAATTTAATTTTATAAGGTCCCCCTGCCCGAGGGAGATACCTCCCCTTAATTATACAAAATTGAAATTGCTTGACCCAGGGACACTCAATGTCAAATTAAGTCTAAATTGCTCCAGCCATTCTGGAGTAATAAGTATATTAAATGAAAAGTTGACGATCAATGACTAAGGTATGGATGACAGATGATGCACTGTGGCATAAGCTCACTTGGCCATTTTGGTACTGTGAGCTGCAAATCGGATACAAAATAATATAATTCACTGAAAAATGAATAGAAACCAGAATAAAAATCTGAATTCCGTGAAAACTTATCTGTTTACTTTGTGCTGCCATGAAGTATTGTCTGAAATGAATCCCTCAATATATATATTTTTTTGTACCAGATGTTAGGTAACTTCTACAATGGATTTTTGTTCCTGTCATACATTTCATTTTTTTTTACTAAAATCTTCCCTAAAGGTTGTTTTAAAGGCTTAAATACATGTTTTGTCAAATGTGTTTTAACATTAAAACAGCAAATTACAAAATGAGCCAACATTGACTTGTTCATATATCTCAACGCAAGATCATACCATAGTCTGAAGCCCTCCTTTAGATAGGAAGTAAAAGTCTGCTGTATAGTCCTGGGATGGCACAAACCAGTTAACCACCTCCCTCGAGAGGAAAAACTGTAGACATCATGAACACTGTTGTTGCATATCACTTCATATTTTTTTTCTGGTTTTGCACCAACTTCACAACATGAATTTCATCAGCACCTGTAGGGTAAAAGCAGAATGCATCTTATAGACTTTCCCACCACAGACACGACACAATCTCTATAGCATCTTTTAGACTCTCCCACCACAGACACCACACAATCTCTATAACATCTTTTAGACTTTCCCACCGCAGACACGACACAATCTCTATAGCATGTTTTAGACTCCCAACACAGACACCACACAATCTCTATAGCATCTTTTAGACTTTCCCACCAGAGACACGATACAATCTCTATAGCATGTTTTAGACTTTCCCACCAGAGACACGACACAATCTCTATAGCATCTTTTAGAATCTCCCACCACAGACACAACACAATCTCTATAGCATGTTTTAGACTTTCCCACCACAGACATGACACAATCTCTATAGCATGTTTTAGACTTTCCCACCAGAGACACGACACAATCTCTATAGCATGTTTTAGACTCTCCCAACACAGACACGACACAATCTCTATAGCATCTTTTAGAATCTCCCAACACAGACACAACACAATCTCTATAGCATGTTTTAGACTTTCCCACCACAGACACGACACAATCTCTATGGCATGTTTTAGACTTTCCCACCAGACACGACACAATCTCTATAACATCGTTTAGACTTTCCCACCAGAGACACGACACAATCTCTATAACATCATTTAGACTTTCCCACCAGAGACACGACACAATCTCTATAGCATCTTTAAGACTCTCCCAACACAGACACGACACAATCTCTATAGCATGTTTTAGACTCTCCCAACACAGACATGACACAATCTCTATAGCATCTTTTAGACTTTCCCACCACAAACACGACACAATCTATAAAGCATGTTTTAGACTCTCCCAACACAGCAACAACACAATCTATAAAGCATGTTTTAGATTTTCCCAACACAAGACACAATCTATAAAGCTTTTTAATTATTTTTTTAGCAATTTTCCAATTTTCACGCCAAAAGATCGAAAATTGTCCGAATATTTTAAAGAAGCATGGGTTCAACAGGCTTTGTGGGGAAATTGACCCTTGGTCCAAATTGTAAAAACACAGCCACAAATTTAGGCAAATTTGGAATTTTTAATGTCAAAATTTTGAAATAATTTTCTTAAATTATCTTAACACACTTTTATTTAAAACAATCAGTTGTGCCTGTAGTTTGGTTGCACAGCGCAAAATGTCTCCCTTTGCTTTCAACATATTTTTTAGATATATATATATATATACTTTGCCGAGTGAAGAAAGGCTCTATGATCGTGAGCGTGACCGTGACCGGTCGTAGCGTGGGGATGACCCTCTTGGACTTCGGCTACGAGAACGTCCTCCGCCTCCGGATCCTCTGTCTTCTTTGACTCTCACATATGACGTCTCTCCCTTAACGTAAAAAAAAAAGATGACATTGGAATGATTGCAATGTAAATGTAATCCTCATGTCATGTGTTAATCCAGCTATCCATGTAGTACTTAAGAGTTGCTGATGGAAAGTAATTTACATTAAACAACCCTGCCTGATGGCCATTTTGTTTAACCGATTCATCTTATATTTGAAGCAATAAGCATGCATGACTTGAAACATATTGAAGGTCATCATGTTCATCAAGGTTCCTTGAGCACTTTTTTGAAACAAGAGGCCAAGGGCCACGTAGTTCTCTGGGCATATGACTGATGTGCTTGAAACTGCTGAATCTTGTCGTCAGGTCCCATGCATCAATTCTGTTATACAATTTAACAATGACATCTATTTTCAAAACTATAGAAATGCGTCTGTTAGGACACAGATGCTTCTCTCCCTGTTTGGCCGTGTATATATATATATATACTATATACACCTCTCTGGTCTTGCGTATACATGCAGTGTAGTGGGTGCTACAAGCTATATTACACACGCTGTGAATTGGTGCGTGTGCTATATTTAGCATGTCAAAATTCACATTTTAGTTAATTACAAGAATACAAATTAACTTTGAGTACATCTTTAAGAAATTGGGACAACTATCGTCTATCAAACTTACAATCGGGCATCACAATATTCTCCAACAAATGCGTAGTTATATCACTGATGCGATTTAATACAAGCAAAACTCCCGACAGAATTTTAAATCAGTGGCTATAAATAGCCCAGAGAACTGAAAATTGCTGTAACAAACTTACAAGCAATATCCACGAAAAATCTCAAATAGAATGGTAGCTGGTTTTTTTTTACAAATCGACAAAAGGGCTTGTCTGTAACACCCAATCTCACCCAATATCTATTTTTAGAACAGTCCTATTAAACTCCATAAAAACAATAGTATATAATGGTTGTGAAATTTACTACTAATATCGGAGACTTTAAAAAGTCTAAAAAGACGCCAACCTCATGTGATCTAAATTTAGTGTCGTCCAATTTTCTGACTGCATATTTCATGTCGTCGTTACGCAGGTACTCCACCACTCCAGTGCCATCCTTGTAAACATCAGCATAACACACGTCGCCAGCTTCACGCATGTGGTCTTTCAAATCCTGCCAGCTGCCTGTTGGCGGTAAGCCTGTAAGATGACAAAACCATACTGTTTTATTATGAAGAAAAGACGTTATTAATGATTTGGACCGCGAGAGGCTGTGGTTAATGTAGACATTCAGTATTGTGGATGACAGACCAATCTATGTAAACCAATGTGTAATTTCTATTTCTTTATCAAAATTTTCTTCAACAACAGATGCTCAAGCATATTTTTCGTTAGTTTGGTTTGGTTTGGTTGTATAGGGTTTAACGTCCTACCAACAGCCAAGGTCATGACACCAGACTTAAGACATTTTGACAGATAGATGTCTGGTGTGGGTGACCAGAGCGCATGTAAGGGTAGTGACTAATCAACAAAAGGGGCAGTGAAAATTTTCTAAGCAAGAATAATATATTCCGTTTTCGGTCTGTATCAGTACGGCTTGTTGATTAGTCAATACCCTGACAAACAAAAATGACATCCACTCAGGTGAGAATTTTAAACGATTGTAAACCGAGGACTCTACCGACAGAATTTAGTAGATGCATAACTATGAGCCATGGGGAACCTTCATGTGAAATTTGAGAAAGATCCCTCTTATGTACGATCTGATAAATAGCAGCACCAACATGAATTGTTTAAGGTAGACGGAATGACAGACCACAGACGCAGGTGATGATGGTGTGTTAAGAATTGTAGTCAACTCCCTACCCATTATTTAATGCGTCCTGGAACAACTCCTACAGAAGCTATAGGTCACATTGTTTTTCTTGTGCCATCTGGACACTTCCTACAGGGACAATGACTTATGAAAGATGACCATTCGATAATTAATACGAGTGATCATTTTCACTCACCTGATATAAGTACTCTGTGCTCCGACCTCCGTGAAGCTGAAAAGCGTCCCTGTCCGAAGCTGCCCCTGCCCCCTCCCCTGTCGCCACCACCACCACCTCCTCCTCCTCCACCTCCTCGTCCTCCTCCACCCATTCTGTATCCCCCACTGCCCCGAGGGTACTCCACTCTCAGGTTGTAACCATCATAGCCATAACCATTGCGCGCATGGACGGCGTCTTCAGCATCTCTACCAACAGAAAATGTAATCTATCAGTTATTAAATGGACTCGCTTATGTTGTCCTGGGATGTCCGATAGATTTTACTGAAATATTCAAACAATACGGACAATATTGATTTTGGTTTGACTTTTAATTTTAATGGAATTGAAAGTCTTAGATTATACGTATCCACTATCCAGCGACTGAAAGTCTTAACAAAATTGCGCGGTTTTCTGTCATCAGTATTTCAACACGTTCGAGAAACTGTGTATTCTTACATTTCAAGAATTAACATTTAAATTGTGTAAAATTAGAGTCCGCTCTTCAGGTTCTTAATCACGTATTTTTTACGGATACTAACTCATTACTTGAACAGTTTAATGCTTTTAATATAATACCTGAAACAACATGAAAATGCACTTTTGTGAGAATAGCAAATCAATTTTCTAACAATAAAAATTCAATTTGTTTTCAACCTTGGATCAGAAAATTCAACAAAAGCAAACGGTGGTCCTCTTCGGTTTTTCAGATCGACGTTGAGAATTTTTCCATATTTGGTAAACAAATCTTCAATGTCTCTATCCCGGATATCTGGAGGAAGATTTCCAACGTAAATTCTGGCGTCTTTATAGGACATATTTGCTACAAATCTGTTGTTTCACTTTACGACACGAGTACAAAAACCCAAAGCGTGGGCAATGTTGAAAACGAGGCTAAAAGTAATAATGCAAACCAAAAGGTAACAGTATCCGGATTTTCGTACTTCCGCCGCTGTAATAGCGTAGAGCTCTTCTGGCGACAGTTTTTTATATAATAATATAAGGGTTTTAATATAAGTATTTATTTACAGACACCTGAAATTGTAATGATTCTTTAAATTTATCAATGTCTAATTTAAAAATAATTCCTATGTATCCTGTTAGCGGGTGGATAACTATAAGCAGAGATGTATTATACGTCTCTGCTATAAGTAACGGCAACATCTCAGCAATTTTCCACTAAGTCTGCATGCAGGTCATCTAAAAATTTTTTTTACTTTAAAAAGTCATCAATTTAAGTTTTAGTGGTAGTTGTACAGTATTATAACCTGCTTTACGTTTTTAAACACGCCTATTTTTTAAAAAAATCTTTTTTTTTACAGTGTTCAATGTTAGGATATGCAGAGCAAACCCAAACCAGAAAGGCATCATTCTTCCCTCGAACTATACCCGAGTGGAATAACCTCCCACCTGACATTATTTCGAGCCCCACAACGGAATTTTTCAAATCAGCCCTCTACCGTCAATCAAACGCAAATTAGACCATCTCGTATCTTTTAAAAACAATCTCTTTCCATGTTTCACTCATCGTCTGACATTTTATCTTCAAATTGTTGAAGTTGGTCAGTACCATTTAGAAGTAGAAGTAGAAGCAGCTTTCAAGCATACTATACTATCTGTGTATTGACAGAACTTTAAAGCTGACTCCAAATCGGTCATAAATAGACATAACGTTAGTTCTTGTTCAAGTGCCCTAGTGCCCCAGAAGTAGTCGTTTCGGTACCTGGTATAGTTTAAACTCGGTACTTTAAATAGATCGAGTAGACTACAAATTAAGATACAAGAATTGTTATTTAACGTCGAACATTTGAAACAACAAGTAATGCTATACAGCAGGGAAAGAATAAAAAAAGAAACGGCGAGTCGAATCTTTCATAAAGCCGGGAATCACAACAGATAAAGTAGTCAACCGGAATCAGCTAGACAACGCGGACAGTTTAGACGAAACATGGAATGTCTTTGTTGAAAAGTTACAGGATCTAATAGAAAAACATATACCGGTGAACAAGGCATTTAATGTGAAGACGAAACGACCTTTGGATAAAAAAAATATATCATTTGGAAAAAATATTTGCACTACCGTTTAAACACCAAAAGTTATGAATGCTATCGAAAAGCACGGAATAGAACAAATGCTATCATAGGAAAATCAAGATATATTTTTAAACAAAAACTAGATGAAAACATTAAAGAAAATCCCAAAGGCTTTTGGAAATATGTGCGATCGAAAACCACAACAAAATCAGGCAGCAAAGCCCTCGAAAAACAAGATGTGACATTATCAACACCCAAAAGTGTTTGAGTACTTAAAATACCACTAGCCATAACATTTAGGAAATCACTTCAACACAGTACCCATCCTCGATATCCAGGGTTTACGCTCACTTTCGTTCTCTACACTGTGCAGAGAGCGAAAGTGAGCGTAACCCCTGGGTATCGAGAACGCAAAGTACCATTAGCACATTATAGAAATTGGCAAAACGTAACACCAATATTTAAAAGTGGAAAAACGGAAATTAACAAGCAACCGCCGCCCGAAAAGTTTAACATCAGTAGCCAGTAAAATTATGCAAAGAATAGTGAGAGAGGACGCATCACAACATATATGGTGCTGCGGACTGGAACGTCTTAAATATTCATTCAACTCCCATTTTGTCATGTATTCAAATACTTCAAAAAAGTTCAACATCAGTAGCTAGAAAAAATATGCAAGGAATAGTTAGAGACGAGCTTTTAAAACATATAGAGGAAAACAACGTTTTCACGAAGTGCCAACATGGTTTCTTGGCAGGTCGCTCCTGCATCAAACAACTTGTTGAAAGTCTAGAGGACTAGACCAAAGCACTCGACAACAATATAACAACTGATATTATTTATCTAGATTATTTTAAAGCTTTTGATAAAGTGTTCAAATTTAAATCAAATATGGTGTCGACGGACCAGTCTGGAAATGGATCAAAGCATTCCTTCAGGATTCCAAACAGCGAGTGTTCATAAATAAATCAAAATCTAGGCAGACACATGTGACAACCGGTGGCCCCCAAGGAAGTGTTTGGGGCCAATACTATTCCCCATCTACATAAATAATTCACCGGACCAATAACTCAGTTTAACAAAGCTGCTTGCGGACGATTAGAAATATATATAGGCGAGTAGAGAATCAACTAGCCCAACAATTGTTATAAAAGGATCTTGACTTCGTGTCTACTTCGACGTCAAAATGGTTGATGAAACTTAAATCCGAAAAACGCAAGCACCTCAAAATAGGAAAATTAGAAAACCCAGCACAGTATACTATAGAACAAGTTCGTTCAACATCTAACATAAAAACTGTCGCGAAAGAAAAGGATCTTGGTATCGTCATCGACAATTCCTTAAAAGGATGAGTGTCTATAAGGCCTTTTTTTGGGCCCCGGTATATCAGGATTTTCACCTCCTTAATTTGTTCAAAGATGTCTTATTGTATCACATGCGTAAAAACTAAGGTAAAACTTTGACCGAAAGTGGGTTTTTGGGGTACCAAAAGGGGTAGGGGTAAATCACAAATATAATTTGCTGCTTTCAATTGAGATAAAACACCAAAATAATACCAATTCTGTCTTTGGAAACATATGTATATTAAACAGGCCTATATATAAAAGAATGAAAAATGACAGAAATTCAGTCGTCACTTAAAGATTGTTTATATTAAACGGAGGATTGTCTCAGGTAATTTGCAAATGAAAAGTGTTTTGTTTCCTCAATAATTTCCTTTCTAATAAATATTTTGAGTTGAAATTTACAAATTTACTCATTTGAGCACACTTACATAAAGTTCACACTCATTACCCACTTTCCTTTCGTATTACACTGAGTTATGGCTTCTGGAAACATCTCAAACTTTGCAACATATATCAGTTTCGATGTCAAAAGCCTACGTGCATAGACATTATCCTAGGCCTAATATTCAGGACTTTTACATATATGTAGATGAAACAATGTTTGTGACAATATATAAGTCGTTAGTCAGTCAGGTCACAATTAGAATACTCGTCCGTTGTCTGGTCTCCAAGTCTAAAAAAGGAAACAATACTGATGGGAAATGTCCAGCGTAGAGCTACCAGAATGGTTCAGAACCTAAAAGACTTATACTTATCCAGAAAGACTCCGCAAACTAGAATTACCAATCTTGGAATGCCAACGTAATAGAGCAGACGTTATTCAGTCATTTTAAATTTTGGAAGGAATAGATATAGTGCTGGATCATGAAAATATGTTCATTAGATACCAATGGGCGTAACAAGAGGCAACACAAGGACATTATTCAAACGTAGGACGCGTAAACTTGTCTACAGCAACAACTTCTGTAACAGGTTGGTAGACATCTGGAATAATTTGCCAGACTGTGTGGTTAATTCTCCAAATATGAACACTTTTGAGAACAGCCTTAATAAGTATTGGAAAAACCATCAGTTAAAACTCGAGGCAAAGTGCTACTGCATACCTGCTAATACTTCTCCTGATTCAAGCGCACCGGAAACTTGTGTGAAAACAACCTAAGTTTGAAATATACTGAAATGCACCCCAAGAATCTATAATGCTTACCATTGGCGTCTACAACTATACTATATGAACTTATAACAAGGTAATTATATACCTCTTATATACGGAAACGTCGTATACGAGTACCGAAACGTCTTATATACGGAAACGTCTTATACAAATACGGAAACGTATTAAATACGGAAACGTCGTATACATATACGGAAACGTATTATATACGGATACGTCTTATACAAATACGGAAACGTCTTATACGAGTACCGAAACGTCTTATATACGGAAACGTCTTATACATATACGGAATTGTCTTATATACGGAAAAGTCTTATGCATATACGGAAATGTATTATATACGGAAACGTCTTATACAAATACGGAAAAGTCTTATACGAGTACCGAAACGTCTTATATACGGAAACGTCTGATATACGGAAACGTCTTATACAAGTACGGAAACGTCGTATACAAGTACGGAAACGTTATATACGGAAACGTCTTATGTATATACGGAAATGTATTATATACGCAAACGTCTTATACAAATACGGAAACGTCTTATATGCAGAAACGTCGTATACGAGTACCGACACGTCTTATATACGGAAACGTCTGATATACGGAAACGTCTTATACAAGTACGGAAACGTCTTATATACGGAAACGTCCTATATACGGAAACGTCTTATATACGGAAACGTCGTATACGAGTACCGAAACGTCTTATATACGGAAACGTCTTATATACGGAAACGTCGTATACGAGTACCGAAACGTCTTATATACGGAAACGTCTGATATACGGAAACGTCTTATACAAGTACGGAAACATCTTATACGAGTATGGAAACGTCTTATATACGGAAACGTCTGATATACGGAAACGTCTTATACAAGTACGGAAACGTCTTATACATATACGGAAATGTATTATATACGGAAACGTCTTATACAAATACGGAAACGTCTTATATACAGAAACGTCGTATACGAGTACCGACACGTCTTATATACGGAAACGTCTGATATACGGAAACGTCTTATACAAGTACGGAAACATCTTATACGAGTATGGAAACGTCTTATATACGGAAACGTCTGATACGAGTACGGAAACGTCTGATACGAGTACGGAAACATCTTATATACGGAAACGTCTGATACGAGTACGGAAACGTTTTATATACGGAAACGTCTTATCGAAATACGGAAACGTCTTATACAAGTACGGAAACGTCTTATATACGGAAACGTCTTACACAAATACGGAAACGTCTTATATACGGAAACGTCTTATACAAATACGGAAACGTCTTATACAAGTACGGAAACGTCGTATACGAGTACGGAAACGTCTTAT